ATAACTATGTTCGACTGTAATGTGTCGATTGAAAAAAAAACTCATCACCAACAACAGTTAGCATGCACTGAATGCTTTCTGTGTTCCGCACACTGTACTATTAACTCTACACACATTGTGCAGTTCAGTACTCCCAACAGCACGGAGTACCAGGCATTATTACCCTATGTCACAGAATTATAAGAGGATCCCTAGAACAGTGAAGCAACATACCCAAAGCTCTAACTGACCAAAGAAACCAGAATATACAGTTAGCTACAAAACCTGTGTTTTTAGTTCCTCAACTGCGTGACTCTTGGATGCTCTGTTTTCCCCAGGAAAGTCATGCATGTATGAGAGATCAGTGACTACCGTCTACCTACATTTGTTCCTTCCATATCTTTTCCAGAACAAAAGTTTCCAAATAACTGAACTTCTAGTCTTGTAGCCATACTATTCAAGATCGCTTGAATGTACTAAAGGTTGTCATTGTCCTAAAATCTGAATAGGTGGGTATGGCTATCCAGAGAAAAATTTTAAAAAACTGTTCTGAATCCACAAGTAAAGCTACTAGATGCAAGAGACATTATGTTTTTAGGCCTCTACTGCTTATTTCTGCTCAAGTCAGTATCAACTTAAATAATTGACTTTTTACATAATTATTTACTTATGTTTTTTATTATATTCATTCACTCTTCCTTCCATTTGCTATTTTGTTTCTATTTCTCTATACAAATGGAAACTAAACCTTAGAGAGAAAACATACTTGAATACAGTCACTCAGGTCCTAAGTGGTCCCGATAAGGATAAAACCCAGCTATGTTAGATGCTACCATGAAATGTGCAACCAGATTCAAAGCTCCCAAGAGTTTACACAGTCTGACAACTCAAAAAGACAAACTTCTCATTATGCTGAAAATGAAACTGCCGAGACTTGTCATTCCACACCATATGGCTGAAACCCAGCTGACAGGAAACTCATTTCTGTAACACACTGGCTCATTTCACTGAGTAGGTTGATGCAAGATTTGTGGGGTGGTCATTTTCAAGTCTTTTTAGCACTGATAGCAGCAGTGATATTTATTTTGATGCTTCCTTTCTGCATTTCACATAAAAAAGCAAATGTTCCTAATGATGGAGAGAGAGAGATTTTATCCTATATTATGCTCTAAGTGAAATATCACAAGCATAACTGCAAACAACAACGAAAATACGCACCTGCTTTGAAGTCACCAAAAACTATAATCGTTTCTCAGTCTTCTGTCTAAGTAACTATGCAGTGGGTTAGGATAGAGGTTAAGTTCTTAAGTGATACCATCACAGAGTTTTGTACGTTAAGATTAAGCCAAAGTGTTTGGACGTTTAAAATTATCCTGTGTCTTTGCAAAGTCAGATTTTAAAGCGGTAAAGTGACTCATGATGTACCAAGGAATTAACAGGAAGTGCCCAGTTCTCTTGCATACAATGATCTGGGTATGAGATGACACCACTTTTTCCCTCAGGCATTTTGTTTTACAGCTGGTACAACAAAACGCTCTTTTTTTTTTTTTTTTTGGAGACAGTCTCACTACGTTGGCCATGCTGAAGTGCAGTGGGGCAATCTTGGCTCACTGCAAACTCTGACTCCTGGGTTCAAGTGATCCTCCTGCCTCAGCCTTCTCAGTAGCTGGGACTATAGGTGTGTGCCACCACGCTTGGCAATTTTTGTATTTTTTTGAGATGGAGTTTCACCATGTTGGCCAGCCTGGTCTCTAAATCCTGACTACAGGTGATCCACCCACCTCAGCCTCCCAAAGTGCTGGGATTACAGACGTGAGCCACTGAGCCTGGCCCAAAGTAGTTTTACACCAGAGGATAGCTTGAAGACTTTGGGTTTCCCTCTACACCAGCCAATAATTAAAACAGAAAATCCCATTTCTGCAAAAAGAGAAAAGCATAAATTGTGAAAATAGGAAAGGTCTTAGGAACATATTTACATGTAGTGAAGTTCACTGAGGCTGGAGTCTGTCGGCAGGGGTTTGGGCATGGGCCCTACCACTTACTGGCACTTGATCTTGGACAATGTTCCTCATCTGAAAATGAGACAAAATAGAGGTGGCAGCAAGTATAGGGCTTTGGGGTAAAGTCCTCTATGTCCAACATGCCTGGCTGGGAATTCTAGCTGTCAGCCATACTTTGGTTCACCTCTCCCTATGACTCAGCTCAACTGTGTTATCTGTAATCCAGGGGTGATAAAAATGGTGTCTACCACACAAGTGTTTGTGAGGTGCAAATATAATAACGCATAGCAAGCATGGTACCTAGATCATGGCAAGTGATCAACAGACTTTTAAAAAAAGACTATCCACTTAAGGGGTTTCAAAAATAAGTTATAAGTGGTCCCCAGAGTATCCAGAGGGGAAAAGAATCAAACTATACTAAGACTCCAAGTCTCAAGTCTTTCCTTTGAAATCCTCACTGATATGGTTTGGCTGTGTCCCCACTCAAATCTGGTCTTGAATTGTAGCTCTCATAGTCCCCACGTGTCATGGAAGGAACCCAGTTGGAGGTGATTGAATCACAGGCTGGGTTTTTCCTATGAGGTTCCTGTGAGAGTGAATAAGTTTCACTAGATCTGATGGTTTTATGAAGGGCAGCTCATCTGCACATGCTCTCTTGCCTGCTGCCATGTAAAATGTGCCTTCGTGCTTTCTTTGCCTTCTGTCATGATTGTGAGGCCTCCTCAGCTATGTGGAACTGTGAGTTCATTAAACATCTTTTTCTTTATAAATTACCCAGCCTTGGGCATGTCTTTATTAACAAGGTGAGAACATACTAATACCCTCGCCTACAACCCAGAGAAATCTTGTTCTTTATCTATTTTATTTATTGGGATTGTGTATTGCATTTTACTTTTAAAAACTTCTGTAACTGGAAACATTGTTTAAAAATTCTGGGTAACTCTAATTTTACAGACAGAAAAAATGCAAGGCCCTGAAAGACAAAGGGGTTGTTTCAGATCACACCACAGGTAAACCACTGAACAGGAATTAGACTGCACTTGGCTTTATCATCTCTGCACCCTGCATTTTTGCCTCCATTAGACCATATAAGAACGGTCACTTCCATCTTTTGACTCTGCTGAGCTCATGATGGCCAGGATGCTGCTAAAGTTTTGAGAATGGAACAGGAGAGTATAATGGGGCCAGGAGTATTAGGGAAGTCAGGGGCAAATACAAGTGGGAGAGTGGGGGGTGACAGTGATGGAATATACGTGCATACATGTACATGTGTGTGCATTTGACCATGATAGGCATTCAACATCCACTGAACTTGAGAGGCTGGCAGAAGATCCAGATGAAGAAGATCCAGAATTCAAGGAAGGTACCAGACTGGAGATTAAGCTCTAAGAGTCATCCAGGAAGGAAATTAGACATGTATGTGTACTGAGAGAGAAACAGAGAAATAGACCAGATAAGCTGATTGTGGGAGGAGGTAAAGAACAAGAAAATGACAAGAGTATGAAAGATAAAGAAGATGCAGAGTGCAAATAATAATGCAAAGACAAATATAATTTCAAGTAAAAGTACCTTATAATAATACTAATTTAAGATCATAACACTGAGCACTTAGTATTTTAGTCAACTCACTACTTTACATAGATGATTTCATTCAATATTTTTTAGCAATCTCAGAAGATACTCCTATTACACCAACTTTATAAATATTTAAGCAAGCAGGCACAGAGAGGCTAGATACATTGTTTAAGGTTACACAGCTAGTAAAGGATAGAAACTGGGTGAAAAATGAGTTGATTCTAGAGCCTGAGATTTTAGTCACTGTGCTACAGTGAATCTCAGGGAGCTAAAGAAGGAAAAGTAGTGTTAACATTAATAGTAACAGCAGTACAAGTAGTAACAACAGCAGCACCTACTGTTGACTGAGTATTATTTTGTGCTAGGGGCCGCGATCAGTGGAGGTAACATGGTCTCATTTAGCCTTAGGGACAACTTGAGATGGGAGATGCTCTTAGTCCTATTGAGCAGAAAAGGAAACTGGCTCAGTGACACCAGCAACTTGCCCAAAGTCACAAAACTAGTGGGTGACAAGAGTGAAAAGCCAGGTCAGCTTGAGTTCTAGGACCCATAAATCACCATGCTGGATTATTTCAGTGTATAGCCACAAAAGATCCATTTGTCATGTGCTCGAATTCAATAATTCCAATAGTGGGATCATAGACATTTCCGCAAATATTTTTAATAATGAACTCTCGGTGTTTTCACCATTAATTCAGTAAATCAGAGTTGGAACTATGAACCTAAGCCTTCAACAGTTTCCTAGATGATTCTTCAATTGCAACCAGGTTTAGGAATCGCTGTATCATGTATGCAAGTCTGGAATGTGTCAAGCCCGACTGCCAGTCTGTGAGGACAGAATGTGCTAAATGAGACTTCTTTGGATGAGCACTCATTCTCACACAAAGCTCAGTGTTGAAACATGTGCCAAAAAGACTTGACAGCTTGAGAAATTTCCACTAGGGGACCAGACTCAGGGAAGTTCAACCTCCTTGCTTTAAAAGAATCCAGGAAACTGGCCTAAATCACTCCGCTAGACACCATTTGTCTTAGTCAGTTCAGGCTGCTGTAACAAAGTACCATAGCCTGGGTGGCTTATAAACAACAGAAGTTGATTTCTCACAGTTCTGGAGGCTGGAAGCCTGAGATCAGATGCCAGCCTGGTCAGGTTCTGGTGAGGCTCCTCTTCCAGATTGCAGACTGCTGACTATCTTGTACCCTCACATGACAGAGACGGAGCTCTGGTCTTTTCATCCCCTTGGAAAGACACTAATCCCATTCATGGGGGCTCCACCCTCATGACTTAATTATCCACCAAGGCTCCACCTCCTAGTACCATTACCTTGGGAGTTAGAATTTCAACATACGAATTTTTGGAGGACATATTCAGTTCATAACACCATTTTGTATCTCCTCTAAAATGCACATAGTAGGATCAAACAAGTTCAATGATTCAAGTTTTCTTACCTAAAACTCTTAATCTTTCAGCTCCTACGACCACTTCATTATCGTCTGCAGAGAAGAGCAATTTTCCAGAAACAGTTTTTACTTCAAACTTTTTGCCATAAGCTTCTACAGCTTTTGGACCTGAGAGAGAGAGAGAGAGAGAGAGAGAGAAAGAGAGAGAGAGAGAAAAAAATATTAGTCTTATCGCTTTGACTACAAAAAGCTTTTCATAGAACATATACATCTAACAAGATTGTATTAGACTGGTTTTCAAAAGCTGACCATGAAAACCAGTCTCATGACTGTAGCCAGGTCTTGTAAATTACTTTTAGTCATATACTCTTGGGCTATAGTTTTGAAGACCAGCATGCCCTTCCTCAAAACTAATGCTTGACTGTGATTTCCCTTAGCTAACCACCAAACTGCCATCACATAGTTGTGGATTTTGTTTGCATATGTCAAGGCACCAGAGGCTCAAGAAGGGATTACCTCACTTCTTGAGGGAATAATATATCTTTGGCCCTCCCTAATTGTCAGAAAGAGCTTTTTAAAATTCAGCTGAAATCTGATTCACTTTGTACCCGTAACCCACTGGCTGCATTTGACATCAAGAGAAATCTATTTCCTTAGTATATAGATCAGTTACTAGCAGAAATGATTATTGTAATTAATTACCTTAGAAGTTGTTTAATCTTTTATGCTAGGATTTTGTTCAGTGAAAACTAAATCTAGATGGTTTATCAGGTGACAACAGATGCTGTTCTTGAATGTGGAGCTATCATACTGTATAAAGAAGTCAAGTCCCTGATTCTATAGCATCTATATTCTGATGGAGACACACCAATATACATTTAAAATTTTATTATTAAACCAGAAAACTGCAAAAGTTTTAGGTATTATGGAAAAAGTAAAACAGGTTGGTGATTTAGAATTTCTAAAAGAAGGCATTCCAATCTATCTGAGCTGGGTCTACCTGAATACCTGAATTTCAGGGGATTCTCGAAAGCTGGTCTACAGAAATGCAGAGGAAGAATCCAGGGGTGTAACTGTTCTCACTGAACCTAGCTCAGATCAAAAGAAATTCATCATTTCATCTAGAAGTTCCGTCAGAAAAAAATTTGAGGGCAGAGTCTAGAAATCTTGTATTTTTCCAAAATTGTCCAGGAGATTCTGACATGGAATTGTTTTCTTTTTGGTATTTTTCAAAAGAGTGTCACTTAATAATAAATAGCAATGAGACAGTCCCCAGTGCCTTCCAGCCAAAGATTGCTAGGAACACACCTGCTGTTGAACAAATTGGGTTTATACTCATTGCAGTGAGGGACAACACACACCATAAGGAAAACCACAGGGCATCTTAGAAAGAAGCCATGAGAAAGGACTTATCATAGGATTTGACCTTATATTAGGTTATTTTGGGGAATGCTTAACGAAATAAGGCTTTATCCTGGATTAAATACTGTCAGGAAATGGGAGTAAATCTTATCTAGACGAAAGACCAGGGAAATGCTAAAACTGTCATGAACAAAGAAACAGAGGCACTCCTATTAGCCAGGATAGGAGGATGTTTGGTCTTTTTTGTGGCTTGGACAATGTTGATATATTTGCTATGTACACACATGATCAGAGTTGCATTTGTGTGTTTGTGTTTTGTTTTGTCTTGATCCATCATGGCCACAGAACAGCCTTGCCTGGTGCTGGTGTTCTGTGAAATTATTCACATTGAAGTAGAAGAATGCTAAGGCCCGGCTGCCAGTGCCAGCCTGCCACTGGACGTCTGGGGTAGCTTTTCTCTTTGTCAAGACTGTCAAACTAAGAATCAGAAGACATGAATTATTTCCCAACTCACTCTCATTTTGTGGCAATGTGATTTGGGGCAAATCATTTGATCCTTCTGAACCTCGGTTTCTGTATCTATAACATTGGACTATCATCACCTCCTCTATCTACTTTATAGAAAGTTTGAAAGGATCCAATGACATTGTGTTTATAAATACAAATCTATGGGTGGTAAAGTGCTGTGAGTTTAGAAAACCACTCTTGTGGACATCACCAGCACTATTCTTCTATGGCAATGGTGACAACACATGGAAAAGAATGTGTCACGAGTACTTATTAATGCACTTTCCTTAGTCACATAATCACATCTATTTGGCAGACCTCATCCCTTGCCAGTATATCCATACCAGCCCTCCAACACAAAGGAGGATATTGGAAAGGCTCCCTAATGAGTAGGATATTGAAACAGCAGAAATAGGACATCACTTACAAGCATCATGGAACCCAGAATTCATCTTGTCTGACCACCTTGATGCTGCAGGTGAGGAGAACAAATGGTGGCCAGGCTGAGGGCTCTCACAAGGTTACTGAGTGAGCCAGTGGCAGGTCTGGGTCTGGAATGGAGCTCTGAGAATTTTTCCACAGAAAGAAAGGGGCATTTAGTTGTCTATGAAGGAGACATTGGGGTGAGGGGGCTGGGGCCAGCACATCTGGAACAGCTAGAAAAAGCTCTGTGAGGATAAGGAGAAATAGAAAACTGGAGACAAGGGCCAGAAGGAAATCTTGAAGGAGCCGAGATGTCCAATGAGGGATTTGGCTTCAGTTTTTCTGCAAAGGCTAAGGTGCAGCTATCTTCTTGATTGCATCAAAACCTTCAATAAAATCTATACTATATTTGTTAATACTTTAAAATTATTACTTTATTTTTGTGAGGAGGGAAATTGAAAATTGAAAATTGAAGGTAACGAAGTGCTAATGAATGAATGAATGACCTCAGGATGCGCACAGGGCAAGCACAGTTTGTCCAGTTTGGACCCCTTCATATGAAAACGAAGTTGTATAACCTGGGGACACACATGCTTGGAATTCTCCTCTGTGGACCTGGCAGTATCATCAACCCGGTCCCTGAGGAGTTAAGGACACCTTCCTGTGTTACTCTGAATTCATGAAGAGCTGTGACTTCACTAAAGGACTATAGCAGTATAGAAAGTATACATCAGCAATCAGAGAACATAAAGTACAATTAAGTTATCTTGCTTTTCAGGGCTTCTCAAAACACAAAATGGAATTTACCAAGAGCCAGAACGATTTGGGTATCTAAAGCTCAGTAATTGATAGTTTTAGCCAAAACCCCACAGAGCAACTGCTGGCTCAATGGTGCAGTCGGCTTGTCCTTTGTTGATTTCACCTGGGGCTGCCAAATTCCCTGGACACGGCTGGAATCCTTAAAAATGACTCTAAAGAAAAATGCAAATGGAGCTGGAGACAGCTCAGGAGGTCCTTTGCTGAACTCACTGTTCCTCTCTGGGATGAAAAAAATCACCACTCCTAATGTGAAACTAATCTTGAGTTAATCCCCCTCTGCGTAGCCTATGTGTGGAGCGCCTCCTTACTTAATCTCCTAACAGGGAGGAGAACTGAAGCCCCATTAGGATACATCAGCAGTCTCCATGAATCTCGGAGCTGCAAAGGCCTAGTGGCCTTCAAGCCTAATTTCTCTCCCCAGCTCTCTTAATATTAGGACCCTTCCCCACTCCCTCGTGATGCTGTTCAAAGCACCTCCACTGCTTTTCTCCATGCAGGCATGAGGATTTCCCATTCAGATCCACTATTGAGATACTAAATCAGCAGCCTGCCTTATGGGTAAATAGGCGTTTGCAGTCTAACTTGAGAACTTAACTGTCATGTGAAGGACTGTTTCCTGTGAAAAGACCTACTGAACATCTAACATCAGAACTTTGAATGGGCTTTTGAGACATTCTTTAGGTCAGCAGAGGAATTCTTCATTCCTCAAGATTGCCTTTGTAGGCCTCACTGCTTAGAAGACAGGGGTGATTTGTTTTGCAGTATGTACACCAGTCGACAAAACAGGCATTAGAAGGCATGTCTGCTGGGATGGCTGGGTGCTTTTCCACTGTGTGAATTAATGTGAAAGAAGAGTGTTGAAGGAAAACTTTTAAGGGCGTGTGTGTGTTTAGAATGATGTTTTAAACATATCTATTATCTTCTCTAGAATTTATTGTAGGGAGACAGAAAACAAATACCACTGGAGGGATAGAGTCAAGAATAGTGGCACAGGGGGAGGGAAAAGGAGGAAGAAAGAAGGGAAGAGAGGAAGAGGAAGAGAGAAGAGAGGAGAGAAGGGGAAGGAGAGGGAGATAAAGGGGTGGGAGGAGAGAGGAGAAGGAAGAGGGAGAGAAATGCTGAAGGGGAGGGGAGAAGGGGTGTGGGGGAGAGTAAGGGGAGAAGGGAAAGGAAGAGGTGGGGGGAAGAAGAGGAGAGACTGACTCAGTCTTTTGCTGAATAGTAGTCATTTGGGCAGTGCCAGCTTTATCAAAACAAAATCTCTCAAGTAAACCAAATCTCCCATTGCAAATAAATGGCAAATGATCAACAGGCTAAATAAGCTCCTTTTGAATGTGGGAATCTGGGAGCTGGAGGTTGGATTTATTTCCCTCCTGGAGGCAATTTTCACACATGCTGCTTAAATCATTGCTTACTGAAGCTGTTTATTTAATTATTTAGCATTGTGACTGCAGGCCAGATGTTATATAAGCAAGGCAGAAGAGGCAGTCACACGCTGAAACAACATGTTTATGGATTATGGGCTCTGCCGGGCAGCAGCTCCTTCAGTCCCTGAGTTTCTTGATTGGCGGATGGGCCATGTCACCCACTGGCTGTGAATCTCTAGATATCCATATGCAGCACTCCAGGGGCAGAGCAGGAGTGAGGCTGCCTCCCCGGCAGTGAAGACTCTGGGCTCAAAGGTACTTGTTTCCCCATGACCTGTTTATTGGTGGGTTCCAGATATTTTATGCACAATAACAGTAATGTTTCAAAGCATTTGGGTAACTGGCTTCTCAAAATGTCCCTCTGTATGCTTTTCTCTTAGCCCTGAAGCCAAACAAATGGCATTTTCTGTCTGTAAGTATAACAATGCCATTCAGACACACATTCCTTTTCCCTCCCACTGTGGGGGTGCATAATGCCTCCCTGTTCACTGCCGCTTATCACCTACAGAGTGGGCACTGACTGTTCTGCTCAAAACATTATTAAATCACGAGGTCCACGTTTATCATTATAATCATTATTGTGAATAACCAGTCCTTGTTTAGATTTCAGGAATGTGTAGCTTAAAACCCAGTGGGTGCTTTCCACAGCTGTTAGGCACAGATTTGTTATATTAGAAGGAATCAAACACAAATATACTCGGTAAAGATACATCCACATCTTGTAATTGAGTTAGGTTCAAAGTCAGCATGTACAACAAATATGGCATGGGTTCAAATTATCGTTAAGAATCCCTTTCACAACCCATAAAGTATGGTCCCTGGCTTTGTAGGTATGTGTTCTTCTCTCAACCAGTCCAACACAGCCTGTTTTTTTCCTCTAGCATTGGAGCAAGAAGCTTTTCTTTGGCTGAGCACCAGATGAAGCAGCTGGCTTATACTTAGGGGCCATATTCTGTGAAAACCTGCTTTTCTTACCCGACTAAGTAGGTATCATCGGATATCATAAGTGTAATATGTGTACAGATGGGATTCTACCCTCTAGTAGAATCATGGAACACATGCTACATTCTCTTTCTCAACACGATGTGTTAGCAGACTTTACTTTCAAGTTTATATGGCGTTTCCTCTAACCATTAATTCTGTTTTCTAAGTGGCAGGCACTGCTAAGCTCTCCCTTTTCTTACCTGTTATCAGCTGAGTTAGCACTTTAGTCTGGTCATTGAGAATGTTCACTGTAACATTTCTGGCCGATTTGAAGTACAGGGCATTACCCTGCAATAAGAAAATAAGAGAAACACATGAAAATGATACATTTCTAAACAAAAAGAACTGTTATTACAACTCTCCAAGGGGCTGAACTGGCTTTAGCCAAGTTCCAGTTAATGTATCTTTACTCAAAAACTCCAAGTGTTTAATGATCCCTATATAAATGATAATTAATTAGCATCTGTCTAAAAGAGATTTCTCTCAAAGAAATAAATACACACACACACACACACACACACACACACACACACATTATGGTTGAATCAGAGACAATTAAGACACAAAGCCCATTAGATCTTACTGAAAATATTAGTTAGCCTTCGTACCTAGAATGATCAGAAATGAATGATAATCTCCTAATATCATCGTTTCTTCAAAGGAGCCATGCACAATCCTTTTAGAAGAGCAGGAAGCTCCTGTAAAACACCCAATATCTGCCCTTCAGGCATATCTACCAACTATAAGAATCCTTTGTGGAGATGTTTGCAATGCATGTATATAAAACCCAAAAGATTTGATGTCTGCAAGTATGACTCTGCCTCCCCCTTCTTCCTTTTCTTATCTCCACATTCCTTTTTCTCTAGGCCATCTGTACCTATATCCACTCTGCCCTTTATCTGAAGGGCTCCCCAACTCTTTCACAGAGTGGTACACATTTCTGGGCATGACTCAGAACAGGGCTTGGCACACTTTTTATTAAAAGTCCTGACACTAAATATTTTAGGCTTCATGGGATGTACGTCCCTGTTGTAACTACTCAACTCTGCTGTTTTGGTGTAAAACTGGTCTTAGGCCATACATATTCAAAAGGGTATGACTGCATTTCATTAAATATTATTCATGGAAAATGACATCTAAATTTCATATAATTTCAATTTTATATTTAAATTTTAATATAATCTGAATGAGCATTGACATATTATTCTTTTTCTGTTCTGTCTCCCCCTCCCATCACTCAAAAATATAAAAACCATTCTTAGATCACTGCTGAATGTAGCTGAAAGGCCACTGTGTGCCAACCCTTGGTTTAGAAGTTGTCCTTTTATTAAACTAAGCCATAAATTAAAGGATGAATCCCTGACACAGAACATGGAAAAAGGAATCTGGCAGCCATTCCTGCCTTTCTGAGCCTTTGTCACCATTTGGTATATACCTGCCTGAAAATTCAATAATATCTCAATGCGTTGAGCCCCAGATAACCTAAAAGTCATTGTCCTACAAGGTGTGAGCAAACAGAAGATTGGCAAAGCTCAGTCTTTACCTTCTAAGTCTTATATTCTAATGGAGACCAGGAGATGGTCACAAATACGCTAGGCAGAGAATAACAAGAGTGATTAGGGAGCTACAGGATGTTTGGGGAACTTTCCTGAAGGGTGACATTATTCTCAGCTTGGAGCTGTGGAGTGGAAAGCAAAGAAGAGTTCCTGAAGGAACGAGCCAAGCCTTGAAAAGAACAGAGATACAATTTCATCAAGCTGAAACGTAAAAAGAAGGCCAGGGAGGCAAGAAAATTGTGGGCTGACTGTCTAATGTTTTTTTTCTTCTAAAACTGCTGTGGATGCAGACTGGATTAGCCAGCCCAGTCCAGCCACCTGCACATGGCAGAATGGCAGCCAACACCCAGCCCCAGGTAGCTTTCAAAAGTGGAGGAAAGGGGAGGGAATGGCAGCCACCGCAGATTGACAGCCTGGAGTCCTGGTCTCTCTCCCATAAGGCTAACTGCTAAAATGGATCACCAACACTCATGACCCATGCAGGCCCTGAAAGGTCAGTTAACCTTGAGTGAGAGCTATTGGCCTCATGTTGGGAAAAGAGAAAATGACTTCTGATACAGGGCAACCATAGATTCAGTGTAATACCCCACTGTGGTTTAAAACTAGAATTCTTCCTGATGACAAAGGCTAAAAAAAAAAAAAAAAGGAGTTGGCAGGGCGCAGTGGCTCACACCTGTAATCCCAGCACTTTGGGAGGCCCAGGCGGATCATGAGTTCAAGCGATCAAGACCATCCTGGCCAATATGGTGAAACTCTGTCTCTACTTAAAAAATACAAAACAATTAGCTGCGCATGGTGGCACACGCCTGTGGTCCCAGCTACTTGGGAGGCTGAGGCAGAAGAATCACTTGAATCCAGAAGGCAGAGGTTGCAGTGAGCTGAGATTGAGCCACTGCACTCCAGCCTAGTGACAGAGCAAGACTCTTCTCAAAAAAAAAAAAAAAAAAAGAGTCAGAGAAGTACATAATAGTATATTAGATTTTTTTTTCTCTGTAAAGAAACAAATATTAGTCTAAAGCAGTTTCTTGGTCATTGTCCCTTATCAGTTCTGTTTAAAACGTCAAGGCTAGGCATGTTGGCTCATGCCTGTAATCCCAGCACTTTGGAAGGCTGAGGCAGGTGGATCACCTGAGGTCAGGAGTTCGAGACCAGCCTCACCAACATGGAGAAACCCTGTCTCTATTAAAAATACAAAATTAGCCAGGCGTGGTGGTGCATGCCTATAATCCCAGCTACTCAGGAGGCTGAGGCAGGAGAATCGCTTGAACCCAGGAGGCAGAGGTTGCAGTGAGCCGAGATCATGCCATTGCACTGTAGCATGGGCAACAAAAGTGAAACTTCATCTTGAAAAAAAAAGAGAGAAGAAGTAGTAGTAGAAGAATTGGTGATAGTGGAGGAGGAAGAGGAGTAAGAGCCCATAATCCACAAACGTGTTGTTTAGGAGGAAGAGGAGGAGGAGGAGGAAGAAGAAACTTCAAATAAAGTGAGAATTCAGAACCTGGACAGGAGGTAATTAGAAATTAGTGTACTATTTTTTTTTTCATATATTCAGCAACCTGGCACTGCAGAGAGAAGAGTGGCTTGGAATCAGAGAACTAGGCAAGTTAAATTCTAGTGCCACCGACTACTGTGTGACACTCAGCAAATCACCAGACTGTTCTGCATTCTATTCTTTGCATTCTTCACCATCAGCACCAATATCATCATAAGCTCATCACTGACACAACAGAACACTCACTATGCATGTACCAGGTATGCAGTAGGAGCTCTGGAGTCAGACTACATTTGCAAGGTATGTGACACTGGGCAAGTTATTTAAGTATTCCAAGCCTCAGTTTCTTTCAATGAATGATGACACAAAATATTAACTATTAAAATATGCATATTAGAATTATTAAATTCCACATATAACTACTAAAACACACATGGCCCAATGTTGGCACATTTTAAGTCTTCGACAATTTTTAGAGTAAGGAGAGGATGGGGGAAGGGAGAATAATGAAAGAGACAAGACGAGAAAAGAAGGGAGAGAAAGAAAATAGGGTAGAAGGAGAAAAAGAGGGTGAAGAGAAGACCGGAAGAGATGGAGAGAAACAAGGAAGATCTTGCTTGTATCACTTAGTCTTTCCAAACCACCTGTAGAATGAGTCAGGGGGTTTCATCCATTTTCAACATTCTCTGTTTCCATATTTCAAAGGGTCACCAGTTGGCTCATGATTGTCTTTCAAATCCCAGTTACCTGCCTGCACATAATATTATTCAAATAATTCTATCACACAAAAATCTCATAACAACTTTGCTCAAGATTTATAGTAAGAGGGCTGGGCGCATTGGCTCACGCTTGTAATCCCAGCACTTTGGGAGGCCAAGGCGGGTGAATCACTTGAGGTCAGGTGTTCAAAACCAGCATGGCCAACATGGCGAAACCCTGTCTCTACTAAAAATACAAAAATTAGCCAGGTGTGGTGGCAGGTGCCTGTAATCCCAGCTATTCAGGAGGCTGAGGCAGGAGAATCACTTGAACCCCAGAGGCAGAGGTTGCAGTGAGCTAAGATCGTGCTATTGCACTCCAGCCTGGGTGACAGAGGAAAACTTCCTTTCAAAAAAGAAAAAAAAAAAAAGATTTACAGGAAGAGGTATAATAAAACCATCCTTTTTCTAAAATTACCATGTCAAAATGTTATAGTTTAGAGTTAATTGTTCTAATACACTAATATTCTGAGAAACAGTCTTTGCTACATCAGGATTTAAACAAAGAGCTTCATTCTAGCCTGCGCTGTGTTGCTATAATCCCCTCATATACCTGGTAACAGAGAAATCACCAGGAAAAAAACATGAGTCAGCTAGCATGAAGAGCCTCACATGGCAGCTAGGTTAGTGCAATTTTTATTTTGCTCTCTGAATTTGTCCACTGAGACTAAACCAGGAAAATACCAATTGAGCAAAGCATCCTTGGGGTCTCTGTGGTATTAGAACAACTAGAGGAAACACTCTCTGATGTCCAATGGGAAATTAAACTTTGCCCTCTCAGCCTCTTCTCTTTCCCCTGCATTTCCTCCCACTCACCACTGCAGCCTCCAAGCCTGGGGAGGTGAATTTCTGTCTCAGGAGCGGGTGACTTTCACTAGCTGACCTCAGGGCAGCCATCCTAGGAAAAGGGGTTTGCAGTGACTTCCTGGAGGCTCAGGTCTTCTAGGCAGAAAGGAATCTGGCAGACCTGTACCTGATGATATTCAGAGCTTGTACCAGGTCAAGGCAGTCTATGGTCAGTCAGCCTGCATTATTCTGGACATGGGAAGGCCATGTGGAAGATACAAAAGGAGGTAACACACATTTCTTCCACGTGCAGAGGATAGTCCACATCGGTATTCTCCCCAAATAACTAAAGTCTGCAGCACTTCATGCTGAAATTCTCATCACACAAACACTTGGATGGAAAAGAATCCCCATTACGTCTCTACTTCTCTAAAGCAGAATATGCTGAAACCTTTCCTTAATGAGTTGGGGCCACCGAAATAAACATTATTGTTTCACTGTGTCCTCCATTGGCTACTATATGCGTGTTGCTATTTGAAGACTTAATGGCTTCATCATGCTGACATTTTAAAATTATCTTATCTGATTTTATAAAATGTAATTTATTCTTACAAAAAAGCAGTACCTGTAAATGTCAAACACTGCCAGGCTTATGAAAACCAAGAATAGCAATTCACACCTTTCACTGCAAGAGTT